TGTGTGTTTACTGAAATGCAAACTTATAAACTAAACTCTCTTAGACACATCTTATATTCAGCTGATGATTCAACTTACTTAAAACACATTTTGAAAATTGGAAGTAACTTAGAAAAGGTCACCAACAATATGAAAGGATGGAAAATTGTATTTACAAGAAAAATACAATCTACTGGTGATACTACAGTATTTGAAGATGGCAAGAAACAAGGGAATGTTTTAAGAAAATGCTGATTGTCAATTTCCTGCCACTATGAAAGTCAGAATTAAAAAAAAATTTGACTTAATTGAAAGGATTGCTAAGAGAAGAGTTCTGTGATTTAGGAATAAGAGGTAGGAAACTTTGGACTCTTCAGTCTGGAAATTTTCAAGATGAGCATACTTGCATTTGTGTCTGGGCTAGACTATGTTTTGCAATTGCTTCCAGCTTTATGACCCAAGGTAGTCAAAACCCTTTTAATAAAATACGTGGAGATAAAACTTCTTTGCATTGATTGCCTCGTCCAATTCTTCTGGGAGATGTAGGTAGGAACAATTCTAAGATGGCCTCCAGTGACCATTTTATAACCTTCTCTGCTTGAGTGTGGGCAGGACTGGTTATACCTTCTAACCAATAAAATATGACAAAGGATTATACAGATATACTAAAGTACTAAATGAATTAGCCTTAAATTAATAAAAAGAAATATTAATCCAAGGAGATTATTTATGTTAATCAAAAGATGAACACTTTATAAGAGGATCTAGAAGCCAGCTGCAAGGAAAAGAATTCTGCAAATCAACTGAGGGAACTTTGAAGCTAATATTTTCCCCATCCAACTTTCTGAGAATGCAGCCTGCCCATCCTTAATTTCAGCCTTGTGTAACCCAGAGAAGAGAACCCACCCTGTCATGCCAGTACTGCTGACACAAGGAAATATGGAAAAATAAGTGCAAGTTTCTTTTACTACTATATTGTGGTAATTTGCTATTCAGCATAGAAAACTAATATGGTAGATTTTATACAGTGACAATATAAGGATTGAAGACAATCAACTTGGAATGTCACAAAGAATTTAGTCCCTTTTCATCAGGTTTTCATGGCCAAGGGAATTGAGATCGCATTACATCCTAGACTACCATATAAGTCAAATCAGAAAAAAAAATCATGTAAAAGTGTTCTACACATTTAACTGCAGGATCCTAATGAAAGCCTTCTTGGTGTGCACAGCTGTAAAGCTGTAAATCTGTCTTCAGTTTCTTTCTTTACTCTTTTTAGGCACATTTACTTCAGACCCCATCTTTGCTGTTTGCCCCTTAGGATTTGTACTTTGGATCTTTCCTTGCTTCTATAAATGCTTTGTATCATTTTGTATTTCCCAGGGCTCTTTCAGCTCCACGGAAGCCTCATTTTTGTCATTCGCACTGCCATATTTGTCCAGAAAATAAAATCAGACTGAATTCTGTACATCACTCAACAAATCTGCTTTATAATTGAAATTTCTTATTCATCGCTAGCTGTTCTCTCTCCACCCGCCACGCCCTTCTTGACCCCCTCCCGCTGCACATAATTTCGTCCCATGTAAATGCTCTCAGCAGCTCATCATAAAGATGGAGGTTTGGCTACTCCTTTGTATTTTGGGGCAAACATCTTAAGGATGAACTACCACAAGTTGGTACCCTTTGCAAGCTGTTTATATAAAGCATATTTCTTAAATATTTATGATAATGAGGTAGGAGCAAAGTGGGTATTGAAGGGTAATATTTTTCAAGAATAATAAATTTCCATTTGAGGAAAATTTAAGAAAGTTGAGAAGGTTGAATAGTTTAAGAAAATCCAGGCCAACACACGAAAACGGTGGAGTTTGAGAATTGTTTCTCTCCATATTTAAACATCCTTGTGCCTATTTTGCTCATAGTTAATGGTAATCCTAACCGTTTTAATATCTTTGCTTTCTGGAGTTCTCAGTGGCAGAAACAAGTAGCTATTATGCGTCATTAATTCTCGTGGCTTATAAAACTGATTACATTTTAGTATGAATGAGATATGTTTAAAATGTACTTCTCTCATATTTGTCCATTTTAATCCTTGTGTGTATGGTTGTATTAGTCAGAATTCTCCAGAGAAACAGAAACAATAGGATACACACACACACACACACACACACACAGAGACACACACACACACATTTAGAGAGAGAGAGATGTTTATTACCAGGAACTGGCTCATATGATTATAGAGGCTGACAAGTTCTGAGATCTGTAGTCAGCAAGCTGTAAACCCTGGACAGCCCATAGCATAGATCCAGACTGAAGGCCTGTTGGCTCAAGACCCAGGAAGAGCCAGTGTTTCAGTTCAAGTCCAGAGGTTGGAAAAACTCTATGTCCCAACTCCAGGCAGTCAGGCAGGAGGAAATTATGAAAGGCCATAATCAAGTTGCTATAAAATTTCAGAAAAAAAAGAACCTAATGCTGTCTAGAGATACCAGAGTATTTTCCTTGAGTAGATATCAAATAATCTGTGATTTGAAATATGGGCTTATGTTTGTAAATCAGTCTGAGATAGAAAAGGATGTAGTCTAGGACAGAAGAAACAGGTAGAAGATGTAAAGTCTATTTAGGGAAAACTCTATTGCTCTGTAAGGCTGTTGTAAAGAGCTTTTCATTTTATAAGAAGCTATTTGAATTTTGTTCTATATGTCAGTGGAGTTTTGAAGAAATTAAAAGCAGAGAAATATCATAATTATGAATTTTAGAAACACGTCTCTGGCTGTGGGGTTGGAAAGTGGAGAATAAACTGGAAAGCATGTTAAAATTAAAGGCATATAAAACCTGAAATACTTTTCTAGAGGAGATTGAAAATTCAAGGTAAAATATATAAAGCAAAGATAGTAATAATGACAAAGAAGACAAAGACTAAAATAAAAACTAAAATAGAAAAAACTATTCGAAAAAGAGACAAAACTAAAATAGACTAACATAGAAGCATAATGACATAATATATAAATGCTACAGGGAATGAATGAATCTCTGACACCC